AGAATTATGATAAACAAAATCAAAATAAAAAAATTTTATGTTTATATTTATTTGCCTTCAACAAGAAATGAAAATGGGTCTTGCCAAAGAATAGGAATCGAATTAAAAATGAATAAAGGCTTCGCTTAAGTGAAAATAGATTTTGCCAAAGAATAGGATTAAAATTTTACACAATGGGCTCTTGTAAGATGGTTTCACAGATATCAACAGCAAAACTGTAGCACTTCTAATAAACTCTGTTAATACTGAAGCAAAATGCAACACATTAGTAAAGGTTTCGATGATGATGCCAAAGACATAAGCCTGAACATGCACATACCAGAATACCAAAAAAAAAATTAGTAATAAAAGCCGAAGTAATAAAAAGATCAAGTGGCGAATGAAATCCACCTCCACTAACGACGCACCAAAAAGGGAACATCTAACCTGAGCAAAGCTTTTAACTGTTATTTAAAGAAAAAGAACAAATAGTGAACAAAATCTACTAACGTAACATCTAACCCGAGCAAAGCTTTTAACTGTTATTTAAAGAAAAAGAACAAATGGTGAACAAAATCTACTAACGTAACATCTAACCCGAGCAAAGCTTTTAACTGTTATTTAATTAAACAAAAAAAATATTAGTTGAAACTGCAAACTATAAAAAAGAACGAAAGCTACAACCAGTAATGCCAATGGCATTAAAAAAAGTGAATTCAACCCGCAAATGCTTTAGCTATTACCAGTAAAAAAAAAAAAGAAATTAGTTTGATCACAAAATAGCCCAAATGAAAAAAAAATAACTACTGATTAAATCCCGATCAAAAAAAAATTAGATCAGCGAATTAGAAATCAGATGATTAATTTATATGTTACATATCGACTGTTAATGAATAGGTTAAAGATCGTGCGTACGTCTATGAGAAATAGAGCCGGGTCAGGTTGTAATCTGATAAACAGGTAGGTAGTTGAGAGCTTAAATTTTATATTTGATACAGGCTCTATTATAAGAAGTTGGGATGTTCTCAAGCCTCAATTAATTGGCTAAAATATTGTTCAAGTGTTTTCATACTTTTTATTATGGATTTTCACAATCAATAAAAAATTTTCGATAAACTATTTAGATTGATCTCAAGCAGTAATTGAGATCTTTATTTGCTCAATCGTTGCATTGAGCATCACTACAATTATTAGAAAATCATATTAAAAGTAATGTTTCAATAGTATTATTGACTTTTATCATAATACTTGTGCACTATCTCGATCACTATGAATTCGCATCTAGGTTGACGCTTGAGAACACAGCTCCAGCAACACGAAACCATGGTTGTTCTTAATCATAAAAAAAGAAAAAAAAATTATCAAATGATCAATTTATATTTTCGTTACATATCGATATGGTTCTGATTAATTAGCAGGTATATATTTAAATATATATGTATTAATGGGTGTTATTTAATTAACTTATTGAAATGGGCCTTGATCCATAATTTTTTTTTAAAAAATTCTTATTTTATCTCTATTTTATTGTATACGTAGTGTTAGTATTATTACGAAGTTAGGAAGGAAAGAACAACCGTTACCAAATATAGAAATTTTATACCTTAAGCCAGGTACGTACGAATTTGGATCATATGCAGGTACAGATTCATACCATGACTATGTAATTTAGATGATTAGAAGCTAAAGGAAATAGTATAGCAATATAAATCAGAAATACGCAACAATTATGTACGCAGTAAAGGTCAAAAAGTATTTAAGACTTCTCTTTTTGCCTGAATAAAGAGACAACTTGTAAGAGTTCTTAACTTCAAAAAGATAAAAGTAGAAGTTGTTCTCTAAATAATACTTCTCTTGAATACAAAATCGTTTGTAATAAAAACCGTTATATCATATATACTTTTCCCTGTGATATTTGTAACCTCCAGTATTCTTGTTTTATAAAAAGTAAAAGAGAATACCTCTTAGTAATCAGACCCTTTTTATAGAGAAATCAATTAAGCTCCAAATTGATTTCATCACTCTTACTATTGTTCTACTTTACAAGAGCAACCACGTGACAATCGTTAAAAATCTTAACAATGCCCAAAAAGCTAAAGTCTTAAAGATGAATCTTCTTTAGCGATCCGTTGAAGCATATAAGACAATAAATGCAAACAAGAATCCTGGTTATACTTATCAAGTCACTAATCTTACCGTAGCAAGATCCGAAAGCCTTGAACCTCAGACCAAGTTTTTCCACACCTCTTTCAGCCTTCCACCTCAAGGTTGAGCCAATTAACTTGATTGTTTAGTGTTTAGTTTAGTTTAGTTAGATAGTTAGTTTTTGGTTAAAACCAGTAATCAACACTTTCTCAACGTATATGAGAAATAGAATTGAGTTACTCAATAACCCGGTTGTGGCCTTGTAATGATTTTATAAATGGGTAGTGTCATGGTGAAGATAATTATGCGATATACTTAGTAAGGGGCATTGATTTAGAGCTTTAGATAGTAAGGATGTGTCGATGATTAAATAAATAACAATAAAGTATAATAATATATAAATAAAGTATACAAATATGCACAACAAAAATATGTATGAATATCTTAAGGTCAGAGCGATCGAATATGATTCACATGGTTCATGTGATGATTAATCAGAATCACGAATAGTCGGTAATGCATTTGAAGTACCGAAGTAAGATTGCAATTAATTTATCAAAAGTAAGATCAATTACGCATTGTCATGTGTTATGGGATAGTCTATTAGTAAGTTATGCATGAACAATCGATTAAAATATGTAAATAATTTAAGAGACAATGGTTGTATGACCAATATATGATGTAACGCTAGAGTCAAATTAGAGATATAAGTATCAAAGCGAAAGTAATAATAAAAAGTTAGTCAATTGAATAATAAAAAAAAGATCGTAAATAATAAAACAAACTTGTTACTTTCCTTAAGTGAATTATTTGAAACACATTAATTACCATAAAGTGCTTCCCCGCCTGAGTTAGATCATTTAGTTGACGAAAGTCACTAATTAACCCGAGACAGTAGGTAGTTCAGAGCTTAAAATTTATATCTGGTACAAGCTCTATTTATAAGAAATAAATTCTTTTTTTTTTAATACATTATTCTTCGTTTGGCTAACGTATACTTCAAAGATTCGAAAGATTCATGACTTAGAAAATTATATCTTTGTGGTTCTATGATTATTTCATTAAATCAAAAATTAGTGGCTCTTACTTTAGAACATTCAACCAGTCTATAATAAAATTACACAACATAAGAAAGTTACTAATAAACTTTCAATATAAGAAAGGTTTGTAGACTTTATATTATTGGCTGCCACTTTTCATATATTGGGATTTACTTGCGTCAAAGGTTTTACTTTATACAATAATTTGAAATTATTTTGCCAAGTAATATATCTTCAATGGAATTTTCAGAAATAAGACTATTACATAAGAAACATTCAACTAATTCTCTTCCTAGCATATAAAAGACACCTTTCATAAAAATAAATTTATAATTTACAAGATCATAATTCGCTAGTAAACCTGCATAATTATTTGGCTCAAATTTGTTAACAAGATCATTAGATAAATAAGTCCATCATAGAAAATGTCTTGGCATATGGAAATAGTGATAATAATTGTGTAAGTGTATCAATTAGTTTAAGATATAATATATTATAACTATATTTATTTTGTAATTCTAGACATGGTGACACTATACATTTCTTATATACGTTAATGCTAATACTCAAAAATACAAAGCTGAATATTCTAGCAAAATAATTATATATTATTATGGCTTTACAACGACAAATTTCAATTTGCTATGAAATTTCGAGCTTTTGATTTATTATTTATCATGAAAAATCCAATCGTTAGTAAAGCTGAATCCTGCGGCAACACTCAAATGTGAAGATTAAATCAAGAAACATACCAAATGTTAAAATAGAAAAAAAAATTTTTATTGATCAGGAAATGGATTGCTGGTGAATATTGAATCGAATTTTGTGATCTTTTTTTTTTTTAAAAAAAAAAGAAATTAATTTTGGATGCAAAAAAAGAAAGCAAAAAAAGAAAACAAAAATTTATAATTACGAAGTTATCATAGTCGTCATTATCATTATCATCGTCAATGGCTTCCATTGCTACTTCTTCGGCGGAGTCAGCTTTTGATTTTTTTTTGTTCTTTTAGCGGTTTCGATTGCTTCTTCTACGCAAGCGATTTCTGCAAGCTGCTCTTGGGAGACAGATTGCTCTTTCTCATATGCTTCCTAAAAATACATATATTGAATTAGAGCAATTGTTCTATTGAAAAGATAATATAAAGACTGAATGTCTTAACAAGAGGAACGGCCAATATAATTATTAAAAGTTTTTTATCTTGGAGCAAGAACATAAAGACCACTGAATAAATTATGCGGTCAAACATTCAGAGGGTAAAGTATAGGTTGATTTTTGGCATAAGAAAAAAATAGGACCAGAACAATATATCAGTTATAAAAAATGGGTGGAAAAATTGGCAAATGTCATAGAAGTAGAGTTTAATTATTTGGATGAAATGATAAAAATAACAAACTTGACATTATTGGAGCCAAAATACCAAGAAAGAGGTTATAAATGGGTGAATAAAGTTAAATGGGATATGGAGAATCCAAAAAGTAAAGATGAAATGCGGGCCAAAGAAGAAATAATTGTCTTTAAACATGTAAAAGTAATAAAATATTAAATTTGAGTAACCAGATTCTTAGATTTTTTTTTTATAAAATACCATTAGGACATGAACTCTTCGTGCGATTGCTTTGTTGATGCATCTTATACTAGAACTCGTAGGGTTTAAAAGAATATCCAAGATTGCCATCGTGTATATGCAGTGTATTGGTGAAAGGCTATTACCACGGAATTGCTTGAATGCTAAAAGGCAAATTGAGGTAATTAATTCATCATTTTCAAAAAGGGAATTGTAAGCATTATGAGTTTCTTTTGAGGCCTTCTACTCAGAAAGCTTCGTGGCAAATGTATTATTATCTACTCTCCCAATATTTAAAACAGTAAAAGTGGCATTTCTAATAGTGGAGACTATGTTATTTCTTTTATTTCGGCATTTATTTTTGAGCTGATAAAAACAAATAAAATTAGACAATATAAATTTATTAGTCTTAATTGATACCTGGATAAATATTTTAATTTCCCAACAGATTTATTATACTATCGTGTATGTATCAATGTCGATATGTGCATGATCGAATATGAAATACCAAAATTGGGCGTGGAAATAGACATGACTAAAAAAAAAAAAAAAAAAAAAAAAAAAAGAAAATAGATATGACTAAATAAATAAAAAATATACTTTATGTAAAAGTTTCTCATTGAAATATGAGATCCAAGCACTCCTCCCAATAGTATTAATAAAATGATCCGTGTGTTCTTCCAAATATCTTTCTAATGCAACTCTATATTCTTTAGGGGAAGGGTATAGAGTTGCTAGAATTAGTTGCTTTGTGACTTCCTTGTATGCTTTTCTCCAGAAATCATCAGAAAGATCATCAAGTACAATTAGGTTTTTTATATCATCTGACGTTTCTTTTTGTTTATTTATTGTGAACCGATATAATTGATACAATGAATTGATTTTTTGGTCTAAAAAATTTACAACATAATTAAAATCATGGGCCGTCAATTCCGCATGAGTAGACTCTTGTCTAACCAAGCTTATAGATAAAGAATCGCATGTGTTCCCAGAGTCTTGAGGTAATCGAAATGTGTGTGATATTTCCTCATAATCAGATTCCTCTTCCTTGTTGGCAGATGAAAGAGCTTTCTGCCTTTTTGCAGGCGGTTGAACCAGTGATGAAGATAACTCATTCTGCTTATCATCATCTGAAATTTCAACAGCTATATAAAATAACAACAATGGTAAGCAATTTATTAAAAATTATCAAAAATATACATTACTTGTTTTTACCTTTAGTTAATTTAGGCCTTTGCGCCACTAATAATATTTTGGTTGATTTAGAACCTTCGTTTCCTGGTGGCATTTTGTTTGCCTCTAATTTGGGAAAAAATTTAAATCATATTTTTTTTTAAATAAAAAATATATAAAAAATAAATATAAGTAGATGAAAAATTAAATACTAGAACTGCTGCCATGCAGCATCCTCCCGAAAACAGCTTTCGCTTGATTAATAACTGGTTCTTCTGCTTTATCTGCCTCGATAGAGGTAGAATTACTGTTTTTCATTTTTTTTGAGGAAACATTGCTTGTATTTTTTTTACCACTCATGTTGAAGATTTGCAAGAAATAAGATTTTTAGAAATTTTTATTATAAAGATAATAAATCTTAGAATTTAAATAACTGTCTTATAACTGATAAGACATAATTAAATTATATCACTCGATCTCAATCTAATATTCCTTACCACAATTACATAACCTCTAAATTAAAAATAGGTAATTTTTATATACAATATGCGACTACTTAATTTTACTAATATTACTTAAATATTACATTCAATTTTTCGCATAATAAGTAAGAAAACTGCTTGCAAAAGCAACCTTGATCGGCAGAATTAAACTTCAGAATTATGCATTTCAAATTGTACTTTTGAATCATAATTAATAATCAGTCATGTATAAATAATAATTATCATGCAAACTCTTATTAACATAGATATTTTTCATTTGTATAAGCACAACAATCTCGAATTAAAACTCAATTAGTCAATAATGACTTGTAAAGTATGATCATAATTGCATGACAACATCGCATGATCCATCACCTTATAATTAATAACAATAAGTAAGATATTGCTTACATAAATTATTAATTGCCCATCCCTACTCTAAATATAGTAATTTGAATTCTGAAATCGTATTTCTCTGATCAATTTCTACTTCTTTTATCTAGAGGTGTGAACATAATGTCGTAATCAGTAATGAATTACTGCATTCTTTTCCATAATTCATTATAATTACGATCAATCACAGCATTGCGCTCACACCACTGCTTTCATCTACATTAATTTTTTTTAAAAAAAATCAATTAAGAAAATGGCACACAACTGCAGATTTTGTACAAAAAGCTTTCATACCACGTTTGGGTTGACACAGTATATGAGTGTAAAGCACCAGGGAAAAATTGTTATGCAAAATTTACAACGTCAAAGACGTCAAAGATTAGAAGAACCTGTACATGATGCGAATTTATGGGATACGCCTGTTGTAAAGATACAAAGGCCGTCAATCTTAACAGAAATTCATACATCAAATATGAGGGAAATGGTATAATATGGTTGATCTATAAAATAATAATACTGTAAATATATTGAATAAATTATTTTTTTTTTTTTTTTTTTGCAATAACAGGATGATATGAAAGAATGGGCACATTATGATATTAGCTCGGATCTTGAGGATATTCGGGGATGACTATTGATGATGCTCTAGATAGCATTGAAGGGGAAAATAACCCACAAATATTAGTGAGATGGCCCAATAATGCTTATCTCGACTTCATGGAATTAGTTATAGAGGGAAATATTTCCAATAAAATTGGTGATAAGATAATCAAGTTTTTTAATAAACACAGCAATTTGGAAGAGTCACCATTATCTAGGTCCACCAAAAGCGGCAAAGATTATCTTAGTCAAATAAGATTACCTTCTATAGATTTTAAAGAGAAGGTTGTTGCAAATTACTCTGGAGTTGATATTACTCTTCATTATCATCCAATTATTCATTCAATCCAAATGCTTTTAGAATGACCAAATGTAGCGGAAAACTTTGCTTTACGGGGGACTCTGAATAAAAAGAAAATATGTTCGATTTTAATTAAGGCTATACAAACTTAATAATTCAGTTTTCATAACATAAATTTTTAAAAGTAACCCGGCAACCTGGCTTATGATTTTATTTTCAAAAAATTATATATATAAAAAGCATATAAAATTTTATAAAAATACTCACCCGGATAGTAAATATACTTACAGCTATTTTCACAATTTCTGGAGCACCGGCTCATTACCCGAAATCTTTTTGGTCATTTGGTAAATTACCTAACTCTCTGAAATTACATCACTGCCTTTGGACTGAAGGTCCGAAGACAGCGATGTAGTTTCCGGAGAGTTAGGTAATTTACCGAATGACCAATTTTTCAAAGATATCGAATGTATCAACCTCTTCAACTCTTTTAAGATATTTCAACATAGAGTTCTTATAGGTGGGGTAACAATTCAACATTCAGATATTTGTTAAGTATGCAAATTCTATAAATTTTACTGCATTAATTTAAAATATCAAATCAAGAATTAATTTATGTAATCATCTTAAATTATATGCAACTTCTTATGTATACATACCTACTTTTGCTCTTTAAACATTTAGATCATTCACATTTTCGATTGAGTGAGTTATTAATATTCGATTTTACTGCATTAATTTAAAATATCAAATCAAGAATTAATTTATATAATCACCTTAAATCAAAAGAAATTATATGCAACTTCTTATGCCCCAATGTGGATACATACCTACTTTTGCTCTTTAAACATTTAGATCATTCACATTTTCGATTGAGTGAATTATTAATATTCATTTTTTTCTCATAGCGTGAGGTAGAACATAGCTTATTTGTTCATTAAATTGAATATCTGTATGTAAAGATGCCACTGCAAGTGTTCCAGAAATTATGAAAATAGCTGTAAAATTTTTTTTAAGGTTTTGTAAATTTTGATCTGGCCGGGTTATGAAAACCGATTTATTTAATTTATATAGCCTAATTGCTTAAAGATCGCTTTTTTTTTTTTTTTTTTTTCCTCATTTTATTTTCTTCAACTTTTCGCAGGACAACGATGGTGAAGTAAGAGTGTTTGGAGAACAGTATGAATGTGATTGGTGGCATGAAACAGAAAAGACAATCCCTCCAATAAATCATCTATTGTCTGTCATGTTATATTCTGATGCAATGACCTTTGATAACCTTGGTAAGACCTCAGGATATCCAGTTTTTTTGTCATTCAGAAATATTCTACATAGACTTCGAAATTCTGCAGATTCCAAAGTTCTTTTAGGGTTTTTACCAAAACTTCAAAATACCATGGCTAAAACTGATGATGCATTTCGAAGCTTATAACGTGATGTATATCACAAATGTCTGGGAATTATAGTTGACCCTTTACTAAAAAAGCCAGATGGGTTATATTTTGGGGTTCAAGGGCGACCAAGAGCTTTTGCTGCATGGATCTCAGTTTTTCTTGCAGATATGCTTAAGGCCAGTGAAATAACTGCTACTTATAAAGCAGCACTCAGTAAAATACCATGCCATAACTGTATGGTTTAGAAAAATGATCTAAACCATATGAACCTTACTTTAGAAAAACTGGTCCCCAGAACTCCAGAAAATATACAGCAAATTCTTAATGATAATTGTGGAAAGGAATTTTCTATACATAATGTTAAAAATGCTTTTTGGAAATTTTCGTATATTTTTTTTTTTTTTGTTATGCAAAAACATTGTTCTTAACCCACCTGACCCATTTTTATTGCCCAAGAAAAAATAATAATAATAATGCAAAAAAAAACTTATTGTGAAATCTTGAGTCAAAGTACATCACAATATTACAAAAAATTTGATATTCAAATAGATATGAAGTACCCATATATCATTCTTTTCAGCAGTGTAAAAGGTTCAGTTCGAAATACCGGGTGGGTGAAAAGTCCCTACACAGGGCCTTTTTACTATTATTATTTTTAATACTACAGTATTATGTTATATACAAATCAGTGTATATCGTTAAAATGATAATCTAAAAATACAGTATGCCAATGATTGAAAAAAAGGTTCTGTATAGGGACTTTTTACCCACCCGGTATGTGCACACTCATATGATTATATACTTACTTCATATTAAAATAAAACATACACACATTGAAATTTTTATATTGTTTTATATCTCCAACAGCTAATATTTATTCCCAAATATTTATACCTTTTTTCAAATATATATTCGAACATAATGTGTATGTCACGTCATATTGATTATCGACGCGAATCTTTTTAAGGCAAGTCAATAAAAATGGGTCAAATGGTCAAAACAATGGATCTCTTGCAGTATAGGTTATACTTCATTTTTTTTGGTGAATGTGGAGAATAAAGGCATCGTGACTTAAGTCACAATGCCTTTATTCTCCACATTCACCAGAAAAAATGAAGGTATAACCTATACTGCAAGAGATCCAAAACAATATTTTTGCAGTTGTTATCTATGTAACTCCTATCAAAAAACTTATTAAAGCTATAACCTAAAGGAACTTAAATATATATGAAGCATGCGTTCCTGATCGTATGCATCATATCGACCTTGGTCTGTTTAAGTATTATTTGAATTCACCCAGGATATTTTAAAAGAAGTTGGAGGAACAAAATTACTTAAAAATTTCGATGACCACCTTCGCAAGATTCCTCGCTTCCCTGGGTTAAAATTATTTAACAAATTAGGTCAATTAAAAGTAATGACTGCTGCAGACTATCGGCATATAATGAAAGTCATACTTTTTGCTCTTGATGATATATTTGATAGGTGGAATCAAATAACTTGCAAAGAGCTTTGCAAGTTATATACCAGATTTAGCAAAATGTATATAATGAGCCAGCAGGAATCGTTTACTGAGATAGATCTGAAAAGTTTTAAGGTAAATATCAGTAATAGTTCATTAATTATATAAATTAAAATTTGATTAGATAATATATAATATGAATTTGATATAGGCCCTAATTATTGAATGGTGTAGCGAATTTAAAAGTATATTTTCATCATTATCAGCCTCAGAATGTGGATTTCCAAAACTACATAGCTGGCGTTACCACATAATTCCAACTATTCGTAAATACGGTGCATTAAATGGCTTGTCAACGGAAACTTATGAGACGCTTCACAAAGTATATGTGAAAAATCCATATAGGGCTTCTAATAGAAAAAATATTATGAAGCAACTAATAAATGCGGTAAGAAATAGGGATGTTAATGGTTGAACTAATTGGTCTTTTTTTATGTAGGACCAATGGTCTGGACCACTGGTCCCACATAAAAAAAACCCAATTAGTCCGACCATTAAAATCATTAGTAAGAAACCAATTCCATAATTAATTATAATTATACTTATAGGTAAAGCGTAAAGAATTAATTTTAACTCCCATAATAAGTAAAGCTGTTCATTGCAAAGTTGAGAGGTTTGGAAAGGTACTATGGGAGTTGAAGCTGGATGCTATCGATGAAAAAGTAAAATCGTTAAAAAGTTCAAACCAAATACATCCAAACTACATTGAAGGGTTGTCTGAAATAGTTCCTGTGCTATATGCTTTCCTTGACACACCTTCACAGGATTCAGTAAGTGAAGACTTTTATGTAAAAGTCTATGATACAGTTTATCTAGAAAGTGGTGAAATTTTGAGGACTTCAGATAACTTTCAAGGGAAAGAATGGTTTAGCAACGTTGCAGTATCTGCTGCAGAAGACCAAATTCGGTATAAGTCAGATGAAGGTATATGTATGGAAGATTATTAATTTTTCTGAGATTTTACAATGGATTAGCAAAGGATCCATATAACCTTGCAATGATTCGCTGGTATAACATTGAGCCAATCGAACCAGAATTATATGGTTGTCCACAAATATTTTATACAAATGATTATGATATAATTCCAATAGGCTCCATTGATAAAGAAGTACATATAGTACCAAGATTTGATAAAAGAAATCGATTTTTACTAAATAAATATATGTTTTAAAATTTGGAAGTTTGAGTAACATCTATTTAGCAACCTGTATATATTTAAGGTCAAAATTAAGTTTTGTACAACATTTAAAATTTAAGGTTTGTACAATATTTCACAAAATATTATATATATAGACAGTAAAAATCTAAAAAACAAATATATTACTATACATTGTTACCAGATATATTTACAAAGGCTAGCTCTGAATTTTTTACTTCAGCTGATCTTTAAAGCTTATACCTAAATTATGACTCTTAAAGGTTTATAATGTAAGTCTTGGTTATAAACACAACGCTGAAAAATTTGTAACAAACTTGGATCAGAAAGAGGAAGCTTTAGCAGATGCGCTTGCAAGAATTCTACGCTTGAATCTTTGAGAGAATGAACTTGGATCAGAAGTAGAAAAAGCATCAGCAGATGCACTTCACAAGAACATTACGCTGACTTCTTCGAATATTCAAAAGAATAATCTTGGATGAGAAAAAATGTACTTTACAAGAACATCACGCTTAAAAAATTTTCAATCTTTGATTAATAAAATTAGAATAGAAGGAGGATATACATTAATAAAATCACTTTACAAGAGCATAATTCTAAAATATTGAATCTTCTAGACAATAATCTTGGATAAGAAGTATTAGTAGATGCACTTTGCAAGAAAACAACACTAACTTCTCTGAATCTTGAGAATAATGGATTGGATCAAAAGAAGTAAAGGCATTAAAGATGCACTTTGCAAAGTCACCACGCTTTATATATTAATGATTTTAATGACTTAAGTATTCTGAATCTAATACAATATACCTAACAAGAAAACTTGTAAGGATTTGGTATATTATGCAGCAGCGGGTTGAAGAAAGAAAATTATCAAGTACATAGATCCTGTGTTTTTTACCAGGGCATTTAGCAGTATACTCAGGTATGTTATCGATACTTATAACAAATATCCTTTTAACTTATTCAAGGTTTGGATAGTTTGCTACTTTCTTATTTCGATGTAATATTCATTAGGCGTCGTTAAAGTTGATCATCTTTAGTGAGAATTGGTTGTTTCTTTCGACTCCGAGTAAAGATCTACATATCCATAAATACTATTTATTTATTATTTCATGAGTTTTTTTTTAACAATAAATATGTACACTTTCAGTTGGTTCGATTCAACTATTTTTCAATGCATATAACCATGATGTTGATTATGTTTTTGGTTAGTTCTGTAGTTCGATGATTTTTAAACTTTTTTTTTGACGGTTGACTTTAAAAATCTTTTATATAGGGTTCACTAGTCCTAGGCATTACAATTGGGTTTAAACTTTCTTCATTTCTTGCAACAAATAGTGAATGAATTAGGTCATTTAAACTGGATATCAACTTACCAAGAATTCTTCAAGTTAGCTTCTTTTGGAGTTTTCAATAAGTGTATGTAGGTTTAGTTACTATATTTACTTCTATTCTTTTTAATTACTGGTACATTGTAGTTGCTAATCATCTTTAACGCAAACAAAGTGACATTGTCTCCACTATTTTTCAATCACAATTCAGTAAGTTTTTTCACGATTGTTTAATACAAGCATATTATTCAATTTAATCTCTAACTAATATAAAAAATTTGCTGGGTTGTTTTTTTTGAAGAAAGCTGAGTTTCTAAATTAGCTTTTATAACTTATGTATTTGTAATTTAATTTAAAAAAAAAATTACCAATGTTTTTACATTGGACTAAATAAAATTTAGAGTGTTCCAAAGTGTCAATCTAGATGTGAATTCATAGTATTATGCTGTAATTTTTAGCTATTGTCATAATATTTTGGATAAAAGTCAATAATACGAATGATGATAGTATTGAGGTATGCTCAAACATTACATTTAATGTGATTTTCTAATAATTGTAGTGATGCTCAATGCAACGATTGAGCAAATAAAGATCTCAATCACTGCTTGAGATCAATCTAAATAGTTTATCAAAAATTTTTTATTGATTATGAAAATCCATAATAAAAAGTATGAAAACACTTGAACAATACTTTAGCCGATTAATTGAGGCTTGAGAACATCCCAACTTCTTATAATAGAGCCTGTATCAGATATAAAATTTAAGCTCTCAACTACCTACCCGTTTATCAGATCACAACCTGACCCGGCTCTATTTCTCATGGATGTACGCACGATCTTTGACCTATTCATTAACAGTCAATACATAACATATAAATTGATCATCTGATTTCTGATTTGCTGATCTAATTTTTTTTTGATCGGGATTTAATCAGTAGTTATTTTTTTTCGTTTGGGCTATTTTGTGATAAAACTAATTTCTTTTTTTTTTTTTACTAGTAACGGCTAAAGCATTTGCGAGTTGAATTCACTTTTTTAATGCCGTTGGCGTTACTGGTTGTAGCTTTCGTTCTTTTTTATAGTTTGCAGCTTCAACTAATATTTTTTTTGCTTAAATAACAGTTAAAAGCTTTGCTCGTGTTAGATGTTACGTCAGTAGATTTCATTCACCATTTGTTCTTTTTCTTTAAATAACAGTTAAAAGCTTTGCTCGGGTTAAATGTTTCCTTTTTGGTGCGTCGTTAGTGGAGGTGGATTTCGTTCGCCACTTGATCTTTTTGTTACTTCGGCCTTTATTACCAATTTTTTTTTTTGGTATTCTGGTATGTGCATGTTTAGGCTTATGTCTTTGGCATCATCATCGAAACCTTTACTAATGTGTTGCGTGTTGCTTCGGTATTAACAGAGTTTATTAAAAGTGCCACAGTTTTGCCGTTGATATCTGTGAAACCATCTTACAAGAGCCCATTGTGTAAAATTTCAATCCTATTCTTTGGCAAAATCCATTTTCGCTTAAGCGAAGCCTTTATTCATTTTTAATTCGATTCCTATTCTTTGGCAAGATCCATTTTCATTTCTTGTTGAAGGCAAATAAATATAAACATAAAATTTTTTTATTTTGATTTTGTTTATCATAATTCT